GCCTGCTGTGTTCATCCAGCTCTACACCTTGTTATCTCTATGTCGAATAGGTGCTTTCTTTAGTGACAAGTGCAAGCAAGGTTGGCACGTAGTTACCCTCACCTAATTGCCCTTGAACTGAGTGACTTGTTGGGGCCATTTCAGAGGGCAGTTAAAGGGTCAGCCCCATCGCTGTGGGTCTGGAGTCACATGGAGGTCAGACCGGGTAAGATTTCCTTTGCTAAAGTGAACCAGGAGGGTTTTTACACCAATTGGTGCTAGTTTCATGGGTGCCATCACTGAAGTGAGCTTTCAGTTGTCTTCATTAAACTTAAATTCCACCAGTTACTGGCATGGTCGTTCACTGGTTAGCTCTGCCACCTCACAGCACTAGGGTTCTATTCCACCTTCGGGCAACTGTCTCTGTGTGGAGTTTGCACATTCTCCCCGTGTCTGCGTGGGCTTCCTCCGTGTGCTCCAGTTTCCTCCCACAGTCCAAAGATGTGCAGGTTAGGTGGATTGGCTATGCTAAATTACCCATAGTGCCCTGAGATGTTCAGGGTAGGGTCCATTGACCATGCTAAATTACCCATAGTGCCCTGAGATGTGCAGGTTAGGGTCCATTGACCATGCTAAATTACCCGTAGTGGCCAGAGATGTGCAGGGTAGGGTCCATTGACCATGCTAAATTACCCATAGTGCCCAGAGATGTGAAGGCTGGGTGGGTTAGCTGTGGGAAATGCTGGGTTACAGGGATAGGGCAGAGAAGTGAGTCTGGGTGGATGTTCTTTGGAGGGTTGGTGTGGGCCCAATGGCTGGCTTCCTGGGTTCTGAGTTGCCAGGGTGGGGTTTGAACTCACATCCCCAGAGGATTGCCCTTGGAGTGATGTTGAAACTTCCCCACCTCTTTTCCCCCACCCCTCCACAAGTTCATGCAGGATGGAGAGCACGGGGCAGATGGGGAGAAAGGACAGCTTGTATTTACCTCCCTGTTGTCCAGAGGCTCTTGATCAGCTGGGCAGACCTGCCCAGGAATCCTAGAAATAAGATCACAGCGTGTTACAATTGAGCGACAGGACACCCAAATCATTCTTACACCCAGTTGCAATAAAGATTTGCATCGTTTCCCTGAAATGGGTGTGTGACCACCAGTAACCAGCAGTTACCCATCAGTATGCAGGGGTCCTTCAGTGTCAACATTGCTTTCTGTTATCAAGGCGGGGTCATGCCAAGAGGTTGTGTCCTTCAGGATGGAAGTGGCCGTGGGGTTGGGAGGTGCTGTTTTCGGTGAATTTCTGCAGCACACCTTGTAGATGGTACACCCTGCTGTTAACCGAGCATCAGTGGTGGAGTTGAGTGAGTAATATCCTTCCATCCCTCCCAACTCAAGACACCGACACCCAACTCCACACTCGGGTGAATCTCCTTGAAGAACACTTACCATCTGAATGGGCACAGCCTCCGAGTGAAGGGACAACCCTTCAGAACTGAGATGAGGTGGAAGTCATTGCCACAGAGGGCTGTGGAGGCTAAGTCATTGAGTGTATTTAAGACAGAGATAGATAGGTTCTTGATTGGTAAGGGGATCGAGGGTTATGGGGAGAAAGCAGGAGAATGGGGTTGAGAAACACATCAGCCATGATCGAAGGTGGAGCAGACTCAATGGGCCAAATGGTCTAATTCTGCTCTTATACATTATGGCCTTAAGGACTCATTTTAACTACCTCAGGACAATGGATCTCATCTCCTACAAAGGGCCAAGCTCTCAACTTTTCTTTACATTCGTTCATGAGATGCGGTCATTCCTTGGCATGGCCAAACATTTATGGCCCATCCCTAATCGCCCTCGAAGAGGCCATGGGGAGGCACAGTCAGGGGTTTGAAAGATCCTTTGGAAGGAGGCTCCTGTCATTCTTAAATGACGATAACAGCGGACCATACATCTGGCTGGATACATGAATAGGAAGGGTTTAGAGGGATATGGGCCAAATGCCGGTAAATGGGAGTGGATACCTTATCGGTAAGGACGAGTTGGGCTGAAGGGTCTGTGTCTGTGCTGTATGACTCTATGCATTCCTCAGTCTTGGAATGTTGTTTGTATCAACAATGAGATGGCCTCTCATTCTTCAGAATTTCAGTGAATACAGGCTCGGTTCTCCTTAATCTCTCCTCCTGGGATAATCCCAGGGCTCTGCCTGGTAAATGCTACCCACAGCCCTGGACAGACCTTCCAACTGGCCAGTGCAGCTAAACACAGTTGAATAGCTAACGTCCTGAGTAAAGAGGTCGGAAGCTAGAAATAGCTTACATCTGAAAGTTTCAACGGGGCACGAGTAACATAAACGCGTTTTCCTTCACAACAACACGACGCATTTACAAGGTAGCACTGTTTTTATTAAGAAGGGAGAAATCTGGAATTATTTTTTCTAAAATGCATGGAAAATCCTCAAACTGGGGTTGGCGTATTTCCCCGTGGATTATCTCTGCTGTAACCAAACTGTCACACAGCTGGGCCACATCATAAAGTGAGCGATCTACGAATATTTACAACCAGAACAGAAACTCAGCAGGTCCGGCAGTATCCATGGAGAGAGAGAACGGAGTTAAACTTTCAGGTCCAGTGACGCTCTGTCAGACTCAGTCTCAGGATATGGGGTCGACCATCTGGGACTGAAACGAGGAAACACTTTTCTTGACTCCGAACGCGTGGGAATTCTCTCCCGCGGAGCCCGAGTTGAGATGATCTTTATTAGATTTTAAAGGCAGCAAGGGGCTTTGGGGAGGAAGCGGGAATGTGGATGTTAGGATAAAAGATTGGCCCATTGATTGGAGGACTGGAGCCAACTGACCCACTCCCGTTTCTGCGTAAGTGCGAGGAAAAGGCTTGCACACAGCAGGATCCCACGCGAGGCAGCACCTCACACGTCTGGAAGACGCCTAACAGCACCCCCCTCCCTCACCCTCACCCTCACCCCCTCTCCCCCATTCCCCGAGCCAATCTCCCAAGGGCACCCCGGGCCTACCTGAGGAGGGCACTGAGGCAGCTCTCACAGAAGCGGTGCCCACACTCGGTCTGCTTGGCATTACGCAGCACCCAGTGGCAATGCTCACACCTATACTTGCCATCGACGGGCTGGACAAATTCTTCGGAGTAGCCCCCTTCTGGCAGCTCAGCTCCTGGGATCTGGTGGGGCCTGCAGGAAGCGCTGGTGGGAGCCTCCTTTGGAGGTTGGTACGAGCACGCCTTTGACCTCTCTGAACCACTTCCTGTCGCCATTAACACTCCCCGAACGCGCTGAAAAATAAAAAGGGAGAGAGAGGAAAACAAACATTAACATCGCGATACTAGAAGGCTCTCGCTGTACAGGAGCAGGCCATTCCACCCCTCAAACCTATTCTAACACGTACTGGCATTTATTGTCATGTTAGTGTACCAAGAATCCCAAGTGTAGGCCCACGACCTACTCAATTAGGCTCCATGAGGCTGCAATCATACAAGAGAAACATTGTGCCTCAAAATACTTCACAGCGAACAACAATTGATTTTATTTGCATGGCGCCGTCAATGTCACATCCCAAAGTGTTGTTTGCATTGCTACAATCCAAATTTGATGGAGGGGGCAAGGATGTCGTTGGGACAGCTGACCATTGCATGGACAAAGAGTTAGGTTTTAAAGGGCATCTCAAAGGAGGGAAGAGATTGAGGCAGCGAGGCAGTGGGACTAGGGAAAGGAGATGCAGAACTTGGCACCTAGGTAGATGGAACCATGGCTGCTCATGGTGGATTGGTTGACAGTGGGGCTGCCAGGAAATCACAACGAGGGGAATGCAGAGATATTGGAGGGCTGGAGAGCACTACAGAGAGGGAAAGAGCAGAATGAGGATGTGAAAACAAGAAAGAGAGTCATAGAATCCCTACAGTGCAGATAGAGGCCATTCAGCCCATCGAGTCTGAAGAGCATCCCACCCTATCCTCATAAACCCGCATATCCCCACGGCTAACCCACCTAGCTTGCATATCCCTGGGCACTACGGAGCAAGCTAGCATGACCAATCCACCCTAACCTCTACATCCCCTAATCACATCCCTATCCACATCAATGGAGCGGAGGTGGAGAGGGTCGAGAGCGTTAAATTCCTAGGAGTGACGATAATCAACAATCTGTCCACCCCACCCCCAACGTTGATGCAATGATGAGGAAGGCATAACAACACCTCTTCTTCCTCAGGACGCTAAGGAAATTTGGCATGTTCATAGGGACCCTCACCCACTTTTACAGATGCAGCACTGAAAGCATTCTGTCTGGATGCATCATGGCCTGGTACAGCAACTGCTCTGCCCAGGAGCATCTTCAAAACTCTTCCGTTGGGCAAAACATACAAAAGCTTAAACACACATACCAACAGATTCAAGAACAGCTTGTTCCCTACTTTTACTAGACTGTGGAATGAACCTCTCAAATTTCAAACCTAATGTTGATCTTTCTTTGTGCACCTCCTGTGCAGCTGTAACCCTTTTTTTTCATAGAATCCCTACAGTGTGGAAACAGGCCATTTGGCCCAACAACCCACACCAACCCTCCGAAGAACATCCCATCTAGACCCATTCCCTACCCCATGTCTAAACCGCCTAACTTAAACATCCCTGGACACCATCGGCAATTTAACATGGCCAATCACCTATGCTGAACGTTGTATAGCTCGCTCTGTCTAAACACCCCGTCATCTGTATGTCCTTGTTTGCTATGATCTGCCTGTATGCTTGCAAAACACAACTTTTCACTGTACTCAGGCACATGTGACAATAAATCAAATCAAAATCTTTGGACTGTGGGAGGAAACCAGGCAGACACAGGGGAAAATGTGCAAACCACACAGATAGTTGCCTGAGGGTGGAATCGAACCCGGGTCCCTGGTGCTGTGAGGCAGCAGTGCTAACCACTGAGCCACCATGCTGCTTAAAACAAGCAATTGCTTGACCAATGGTCAAATATGGTGAGCTGAGGGGAGACTCACTGAGCTAACCCATCTCTGTTGCTTGATGGTTGGGACATTTCTGAAACAAAGATGCCACGTTTTGAACACTTGCTGTTGGTTCACACATTATATCCCATCCATGAGGGGAGGGGGAGGATGTTTGGTGATGTACCCAGAACCCTAGGCTAACATTCCAGAGAGCAAAGTTTTAATCTCACCCCCATTGAGAGATGGTGAAATTAGAATTCAATTAAAATATAATCTGGAATTTATAAAAATGCAATAAGCACTGTTGATTATAAGAATCCATCTGGCTCACTAATGTCCTTGAGGGAGGGAAATCTGCCATCCTTACCTAGTCTGGCCTACACGTGACTCCAAACCCACAGCAATGTGGTTGATTCTTAAATAGCCGAACGAGACGCCCAGCTCAAGGGTCAGTTAGGGATGAACAATAGATGTTCTCCCTGTCCAGAGTAACGGTAAAAATATACAAACTTGCATGCAATTTGCCAACGTGTCTAATTTGTGTCTTTCAAAAATCTGGGTTCTGATGACCATATTGAGATTTGATGAATTTTGAAGGACTGAGGCAAACTCTCCAACACCAGGACATGCCATTCCACTCCTGCCATCATTCCCATTGTTCCCTGGTCCCTCAGCAATTCTGGGCTTTTGTAGTTGCAGTACCAGCAGCTGCCTCACTTTCCTGGTGGCAGTGCTGAGCAGCTGAGGTCCTCTGAGGGGGTGGGGCAGGGGTTCAGAACTCCACACCAAGAAGCTCAATCCCCGGAAGTGACCTGGAGCTGAGGCTTTTCCCACCAGTGGGGTCCATCTGGAGCAGGACACTCGCTGGTGTGCAAAACCTCTCAGTAACGTCCAGGAAATGCCACACTAAGAATCTAATGATGATCATGAATCCATTGTCGGAAAAATCCATCTGGTTCACTAATGTCCTTTAGGGAAGGAAACTGCCATCCTTACCTGGTCTGGTCTACATGTGACTCCAGGCCCACAGCAATGTGGTTGACTCTCAACTGCCCTCTGGGTAATTAGGGATGGGCAATAAATGCTGCCCTGGCCAGTGACGCCCTCATCCCATGAATGAATAAAAAAAAGTCATCTCTGTGTGTATTTTTCTCTCTCTCTCCCTCTGCTCTGTGTCTATGTGTGTATGTGTCTCTGTATGTGTGTGCCAGTTTTTTAAATATGTTTGTGTGTGTGTGAGAGAGAGAGTGTGTAAGAGTGTGTGTGTGTGTGTGTGTGAGAGAGAGAGTGTGTAAGAGTGTGTGTGTGTGAGAGAGAGTGTGTAAGAGTGTGTGTGTGTGAGAGAGAGAGAGTGTGTAAGAGTGTGTGTGTGTGTGTGTGTGTGAGTGTGTGTATGTCTAACTGTACCTGTATGTGACTGTGTGTGCCTGGATTTGTACATGCATGTGTTTATGTCTGTGTGTGTGCATTTGCATGTCTGTCGTTGTGTGCCTGCATATGTGTCTGTGCGCGCCTGTGTATGTCTGTGTATGTGTATGTGTGTGTGTGTGTGTGTGTCTGTGTCTGTGTGTGTTTCTATGTATGTCTCCCTTTCTCTCTGCTCTCTGTCTTTGTGTGTGTGCATGAGCCTGCGTCCATGTGTGAGAGATTGTGTGAGTACGTCTGTGTGTGTGTATGAGTGAGTGTCTGTGTGTGTGTGAGTGATTGTGTGTGTGTTTGTGTGCATGTGTCTCTATTTGTGTCTGTTTGCGTGTAAGTGTGTGTGCATGTGCATGCGTGTGCGTGAGAGAGTGTGTGTGTGTATGTGTGTGTATGTCTGTGTCTGTTTGAGCATGAATGTCTGTGTGTGTGAGTGTGTCTATTAATGTGTGTATGTGCACACATGTGAGAGAGAGAGTGTGCATTTGTGTTTGTGTGTGTGTCTGTGTGGGTGCGTGTGTGTGTGAGTGTGAGTGTGTGTGTGCGTGTGTGTGTGTGTCTGTGTGTGTGTGTGTGTGTGTGCGCGAGTGTCTGTGTGTGTGTATGTGTGTGCGCGCGTGTGTGTGTGTCTGTATGTGTGTGTGTGTGTCTGTGTCTGTGTCAGTGTGTGTGTGTCTGTGTCTGTGTGTGTGTGTGTGTGTGTGTCTGTGTCTGTGTCTGTGTGTGTGTCTCTGTGTGTGTGTGTGTACGTGTGAGTGTCTGTGTGTCTGTATGTGTGTGTGTGCATCTGTCTCTCTGTGTGTAATGTGCAGAATGGGGTGGGGGAGCTGAGGCTTGGGGCTGTGAACCCGGTGTGTGTCTCTCACTATATCAGAGAGAAGGGGTTTTCCAGATTGGTCTGAGGTACATGGCCTGACACACGGTCAGCTCACTGCAGGACTCAGTCCTGTTCAAACAGCAACTGGAAACACTTCCGTCCAAATAAAAAGCCTCGCGGTGTTTTTAAAAACCAGTGCAGGGGGCCATTCTATCTCATCTTGTTCAAAGAAAGTCCAACTCAATCCCTTTTTGTGATTTCTCCCTTTGATCACTTTAGCCCCAAGAACAATATCTACATCCTTCTGGGAAATATTCAATATTTTGTCCTCAACCATTATCTGTGACAGAGAATTCCACTGGCTCCCCACTCTCTGGGTGAAGATATTTCTCCTCACCTCAGTCCCACCCCTGTATCCTTAGACTGCGACCCCCTGGATCTGGACTCCCCCCAGTCATCAGGAACATCGTTCCTGTATTTACACAGTCTAGTCCCTGTTAGAATGTTATAGGTTTCTATGGGACTCCCCCACTGCCCATTCTTCTAAAATCCACTGAATGTAGTCTTAACCGATCCTGTGTCTCCTCATACGTCAGTCCAACCATCCCAGGAATCAGTCTGGGAAACCCTTGTTGCACACCCTCCATCGCCAGAATATCCTTCCTCAGATAAGGAAACTAGAAAGACACATTAAAGTACTGGAGCAATTAAAAATGATCATGCATCAATAGGGTCCCGAGCTGAAACGTCAGCTTTCCTGCTCCTCTGATGCTGCCTGGCCTGTTGCGTTCCTCCAGCTCCCCACTGTGTTATCTCCAAGGTCGCCTGACATAGAACCAAAAAGGAATTGGCACCATGGTCCCACGCTCTCATTAGACAGAGACAGACAACTGGTGGTCATTTTACCCAAGTGTCACTGCACCTGAGGCGAGGGGAGAGGTTGGGAAGGAGTGTCACTTTCATGGTAATCTCAGCCAATGCAGGAATGAAACCCAGGTTTTTGGGCATCACTCTGAGTCAGAGACCAGCTGTCTGGCCAACTGAGCTAACCGACCCCTTTAGCACCAGGGGAGGGAATGGGTTGACTGATCACC